GCAAGTATATGGAATAGGTGGTAAGTTACTAAATGCTGTAAAGAGTTTTTATGAGGATAGTGAGGCTCAGGTTAGGGTGTGTAGAAGAGAGGGAGAATACTTCCTGGTAAAAGTAGGTCTTAGACAGGGATGTGTAATGTCACCATGGTTGTTTAATATATTTATAGATGGGGTTGTAAAAGAAGTAAATGCTAGGGTGTTCGGGAGAAGGGTGGGACTAAATTATGGGGAATCAAATTCAAAATGGGAATTAACACAGTTACTTTTTGCTGATGATACTGTGCTTATGGGAGATTCTAAAGAAAAATTGCAAAGGTTAGTGGATGAGTTTGGGAATGTGTGTAAAGGTAGAAAGTTGAAAGTGAACATAGAAAAGAATAAGGTGATGAGGGTATCAAATGATTTAGATAAAGAAAAATTGGATATCAAATTGGGGAGGAGGAGTATGGAAGAAGTGAATGTTTTCAGATACTTGGGAGTTGACGTGTCGGCGGATGGATTTATGAAGGATGAGGTTAATCATAGAGAATTGATGAGGAAAAAAGGTGAGTGTGCATTGAGGATAGTGGAGTCAAAAACGTTATCTATGGAAGGCAAAGGATGGGAATGTATGAAAAGTATAGTAGTACCAACTTCTGCTTAATTAGGTGTGAAGCTGAGTGGTACAAGCATGCAGCGACCGGAGACTGTTTTGGAGGCAGTGGAGATGTCCTGTCTAGGGAATGTGTGGTGTAATATTTATCAGAAAATTTGGAGGCGTGGAAATTAGGAAAAGGGTGGAGTTAATAAAAGTATTAGTCAGAGGCAGAAAGGTTGTTGAGGTGGTTTGGTCCATTTAGTGAGGATATTGGATCAAAGTAAAGAATGGTAAATCATAAAATCTATAGGGAAAAGGGAGTGGTGCATTGAGGTATATGTGGAGTCAAAAAACGTTATCTATGGAGGCAAAGAAGGAATGTATGAAAGTATAGTAGTTTCCAACACTCTTATATGGGTGTGAAGCTTGGGTGGTAAACGCACAGCGAGGAACGGTTGGGGCAGTGGAGATGTCCTGTCTAAGGGCAATGTGTGGTGTAAATATTATGCAGAAAATTTGAGCGTGGAAATTAGGAAAAGGTGTGGAGTTAATAAAAGTATTAGTCAGAGGGCAGAAGAGGGGTTGTTGAGGTGGTTTGGTCATTTAGAGAGAATGGATCAAAGTAGAATGACATGGAAAGCATATAAATCTATAGGGGAAGGAAGGCGAGGTAGTTGTCATCCTCGAAAGGGTTGGAGAGAGGGGGTAAAGGAGAGTTTGTGGGCAAGGGGCTTGGACTTCCAGCAAGCGTGCGTGAGCGTGTTAGATAGGAGTGAATGGAGACGAATGGTACTTGGGACCTGACGATCTGTTGGAGTGTGAGCAGGGTAATATTTAGTGAAGGGATTCGGGGAAACCGGTTATTTTCATATAGTCGGACTTGAGTCCTGGAAATGGGAAGTACAATGCCTGCACTTTAAAGGAGGAGTTTGGGATATTGGCAGTTTGGAGGGATATGTTGTGTATCTTTATACGTATATGCTTCTAAACTGTTGTATTCTGAGCACCTCTGCAAAAACAGTGATTATGTGTGAGTGTGGTGAAAGTGTTGAATGATGATGAAAGCATTTTCTTTCTTTTTTGGGTCACCCTGCCTCGGTGGGAGACGGCCGACTTGTTAAAAAAAAAAAAAAAAAAAAATCTACTGAGATATGAGGCTGCAAAGTTGGCACTTAATGCTCACCTGACAGCAACATCGAGTCCTGCTGCTTGCAGAAGTGTTGCCGATATACCATTTTTTCTCATTTTTACATTATTTTATATAATTTTTATGTTCTGATAATTACAATTTATTGTAGTTCTTGTCATTTCATAACCAATCTTTGTTCTGACACTAATATTAGGTACTGAAATTGTACTCAAATTGTCACAAACACATTGACAGGTGGACATTTACACCTGCCTTGGTCATTTACTATTGTCTAGGAATATATACAAAGTATTTATAGGTCCCAGCAATGTTTTGGATACACGGGAGTGTAGAAGCAGAAGACGGAAGAAGGAAGGAGGAGGAAGAAGGAAGAAGGAAGAAGAAGGAAGAAGTTCCCTTGAAGCAATGTGTAAGACAAGTGTTCAGTGACAAGCATCGGAAAGGCAGTGATAAGATGAGATATGAGATGACATTTGATGGGCGCCAGCGAGGGTGCAGAGATCAGGAATTACATTTGATGAGCTCGTATCTCTGATCATCTGTCTCTCTGTCTGCTTGTCTCTTTCCATCTCTCTGCTTGTCTCTCCGTCTGTCTCAGAGAGAGCCACTGTGAACCAACAGGTATTCTTATGCATTATAATAGAACACTCCATTCTCTTGAATGCTCAGTAACTCATCAAATGACCATATGACCTGTTTCTGTACTACAAATCCACCTGGTGGTTCACACTTACACTCAGTCACTTACCCATTTGACTATAAGCACAGAAATATGTATCTTAATCTTAAAATAATGATTCCTAACTAGTCACAAGTTTGCCTGTGATACTCCAATATAGAAACTATGTATTGTGCCATAACAAAAGCACTCACATTGCTAAACTCACAAACTAGTATTTAGTCACTTAGTATTTAGTCAACTTAATCCACAATTTGTAATAATTTAGGGTTAAGAATTAATCTAAGTTTGCCCGAAATGCCTAGCCATGCTAGGTGTTCTAGTGGCCCCCTCTGTAATTAGTATTTTATTACATGTAAACAACACAATAACCAAAATCTGTAAACCCCGCATTGTAATCCTTATCAAGAATAAACTTTGATTTGATTTGATTTGATTTAATTTGATTATTTTATAAATTGTGCTACAAATCTGTACAACTATAAAGCTTCTTATTTGAAATACTCATTTGTACTTCATGTTGTAATTTGTTTACTGTATTTTTTACCAATAAATATATCATTGCTTAGTTAATCTTAAGTTAATTTTAAGCCTGCCCACAATGCTCTGTATACAAGGGGCTTTTGGCATGTACATTCAACCACTGTATTTCAATTGTACAACTATGTATTATGTCCAAATAATAAATAAATAAATATCTACAAGCACAGTATAACACTTCGGATTTTTTAGGTTATCCTAGGTAATTTACACTATAACTGTATTTGTGTGTACCTGTGAGACAGATAGACAGAGACAAATAGACAGAGACAGATAGACAGACCCTAAACTTGGGGTTAACATCACTTTCCTCTTAAAAGGGGAGTGTTAGTATGACATTACATTAGTGAATCCTTGGTGTTTGCCACACTGTTTGCTGTAGCTGGCGCTCAATATAACTGGCGCTCCCACAAGGTACTAAGTGGACCCATATTTTTTTAATATGGTGCACACCGAGTGTTAAGACCCATTCTATGCTGACTAGGCATCTCAGGCCAATCGTGCCAAATTTGGAGGCAGGAAAAATAAAACATATATATATGTTTGGGGGCTGTAAGAACGTATATATACATTTGGACCATTTATGGGTTAAAGCAGGAAATCGATAAACACAAACTAAGAGTGTAGCATTAAGAGTGTACCATTAAGAATGTAGCGATTAAGCGATAGAAAAAGGACGAAACAAAATGAACTCCTGACAGCATACGACACTGTGCCCAGCATCTCTTCTTCCTCATCAACCTGCGCCAGCATCTCTTCTTCAAGGTAAATTTTGTATTATTATTATTATTATTTATTACGTATTATTATTTTCCTTATGAAACTCCATAGTGATCTAATGGAGTTTGCCTTACAAATACTCCGTTTTCTGTTATAATAACAGCATGGGAAGGTATGTAGTCAGGAGCAGGAACAATGGCCACTGTGCCGCCGCTTCCACTACCACTACTCAAATACAGTGGACCCCCGGTTTACGATATTATTTCATTCCAGAAGTATGTTCAGGTGCCAGTACTGACCGAATTTGTTCCCATAAGGAATATTGTGAATTAGATTAGTCCATTTCAGACCCCCAAACATACACATACAAATGCACTTACATAAATACACTTACATAATTGGTCACATTGGGAGCTGATCGTAAACCGGGGGTCCACTGTATATAAGTACATATTTCATTCATTCTAGTGTATATATTATGTTTCTATGTTATTAATATTGTTTATTACATCATATTAGATGAATTGATATAGATAAATAAGCTGTAGAGTTGATATTAGAGAAATAGTATTAAAGTATTTTGTTGTACCTGGAATTCCACTGTGACGGATTAATTCCATTTGAATTAATTAAATGAAGAAAACTGACTTTACAAACAAGCAACTCCAGGTGCATGCAACGTCATGGAATGGATTCAACTCGTAAGTAGAGGTTCCACTGTACTTCATCTTTTTAAACCACAAAAAGAATATTTTTAGGAGCTGATAAACTGTAATGAAGAGAGAGAGGCAGTGATTTCAAACAATGGGCAGGGAGGTATAACATCCTGTAGGAGTGAGGAAAAGTCAGATGTGAGTGTGGGGTTAAGTGTTTGAGGCAGTGAGTAGAATATAAGAGAGTAAAGCAGCTGGGATAGATGGGATCAAGGCAGAGATGTTAAAAGTAAGTGGAGATATAGTTTTGGAGAGGCTGGTGCTTTTGTTCAATAAATGCATGTAAGAGGAAAAGTGCCTGGGAAATAGCAAAGAGCATGCATAGTTCCTTTGCATGTTGGAGGGAGATTATGTTCAGGATGTGCAACGTCACCATGGTTATGTAACATTCTGAATGAAACCTTATAGTTAGTCTTCTGATCAGAGGCACTGACCACAGGCAAAAGAAAATGGGAATGGCAAAAATAAAATGTAATAATCAAAGCTATCTACAAGATGCCTGTAAGTAAAATCGTTGTACAAATGAATCTCGTGAATTATATTGCAAATTTCATGGTTAAACTCTACTGTAGTTTAGATTGTAACTGTATACAGAACTGTACTGAGTAAAGAGTGACATACCATTGAAGCAGAGTAGCGCTGACTAATGGTTAGGTACTGGAAAACTCTTTCGAGGATCAGGTCTGGCAGAAGGTGCCAGTTACTGTACACATGATCTGGATCTTCCTCCTCCTCTTCCTTAGGTAACTTTCCAATACATGCCTTCACACCCAAATCTAAAATAAATAAAATATAAAATAAATATATAATATTATATATTATATAATTATATTTTTAT